AGCCACTCCTCGGAAGGAAGATGGGGCAATCTACTTCCATAGTGATACTGCCTCAGAAACCCAAGGAGGGGTCGCTATGAGTCAGGTCTGACTCAACGGCACATAACAACAACATATATATATACATGTATACACACACACACACACACACACACACGGTCTGAAGTGGGAGAAGAGATTTAAGCTGAAGATAGTTTTTGGAGAGCCAGTATACAGATGACTATTAAAAACAGATAAATCAGTCAGACAAACATTAATAGGCCAAGCATGGAGTCTTGGTGATGAGTCATGTGAAAGGACAAAAGAAAGATGGCCACAATGACAGCAACAGGGATGTTCAGAGCCAAAAGAATGTATTATAGACACTAACAGATTTTATAGAATGACTGAGTGAGGAGTAGAGATTAGTGCTACAGAAATGTCAAGTAAAGAAGATATTTTTTCACCTTTAATTACATTTATACTCCATGAAGAACGTTTGTCCATTCTTTTCACCAATGCAAATCTTATATATTGTCTGTCTGACTTTCTACCATGGCTACCAGACATCTCAGAAATAATCTTGCAGCTCCACCATGGAAAATCTGTAACTTCAGAGGGCCTGCATTGAGCCACATACCAAAATTGCTCTGCTATTCATCTGTTCTTCTCTATCCTCCCTTAATGACTGATCCATTTCTATTTCTACTTTGCTGTGTTAATTTATGGACACTTAAACATCTATTAAAAAATCATTATAAAGCAAAGTGGTTAATAACTCACCCAAGATTTGTTCATTTTCCGCTGTTCAGAAGAGTTAGCTGGGGAGAAGGAAAAAGAAATGGTACCATGAGAGACTTGCTTAACTCCTACACTCACTTGCCTAAAAAAATTCCATCACACCAGCTAAAGAAAAGACCTCCCTATATAAACATGCCCCTTGACCCTTAGGAAAGGACAGGAAGTACCACATAGGGGCAGCACAACCTGAATATATTCATCTTTGATGTGACCCTGTGGGTTAAACCTTGTTATGTTCACGAGGTAAAAGAAATCCATTTTTTATTAGTATATTAAAAGGTGGGTTTAACCACTGACTTCTGGTTAGCAGCCAAACACCTTACCCATCATGCCACCAGAGCTCCTTAATTACATCTCCTTATTGCTAATTAGCCAAAAAATAAAAATAAAAACTACAGATGATTGGTTAAACAAATTCAGCTTTACACTGCATAAAGAGGGTGGTTAGGATCAAATGAGAAAACCAAGTATTGGAATAAAGTGTTTTCTAATTATGATAGGTTAAATACACAGTGGAATGGCAGTTAGGCTATAATTAACAGGTACTTGGGAAAATTTAAGTAACATCTTTCTAGAGATGAAATCATCTGCCTTCATCAAAATCAATATTCTCCAAAAAGTACTCAGGGTAGATAATAATGTGTAGACAATAGGCACTGAATTAGAACATCCACAGTAAACTCTGAAAAGCATGACAGCATAGTTTATAACATGGAAATCATTTTTAAGTTTTTATTCTACATTGATTGCTGTTTCCCAAAAAGACTTTTTGATAATATGCCTCTAGCTGCCTCTATTTGATTATATGTCACTTGGCTGTGACAGAATAAACAGCTCTAGGCTTTGTTCCTGGTTCTGCCCTAGGTGATCCTAGAAGAGTTCTTAATTTCAGGTTCAAATTTGGGGAGCTTGCAAGAGTCAGACATCTCATCCAGTCCTAACAGTTTGTGATTGTAAATATTCAGAGGGAGTGTCAAAATACCTCTAGATGTCACCTGTGGTGGTGGGCATAGTGTGACAGCAACTCAGATTCGGAAAAGAAAAGGACTGGTTAGGTTTTCTTCAAATTTAGCTGGTTATGTCTTTGCTGGAAACCTACTTCACCAGCCCACCTGTTCCTTTTTGTGTATTACTTTCACTATGGCTACTAAAAAAATAAAATAAAATTACTATGTGGCTTGCATTATCTATCTATTGGTGAACACCACACAAAAATATGACTATAACACTGAGTACAGAGAAAGTCTGGGTAGTGCAGGAGGGGCCAGGAGCCACAGCAGTCTGGCACCGGACTCTCAGAGACATAACAAAAATTCCAGAATATACCTACACCTAGTGAGATTCTACCCATATTTACTTCATAGTCCCATCCCTGGGGACTTGAGTGCAGGCCCCTGTGATACGAGCTAAGAAGGCACAAAGTGTGAGTTTTACGCAGACAGGATATTAGGAAGAGCAAGAGACATGCCACAAATAATATCTGCATTTCCATCTCCCGCTCCCAATGATTTTTGACCATAAGTGTATCATTTTACCCCTCTCAACCAGTGATCTTTCTTAATTGTATGTTTATACAGAGAAAGAGCGACGTTCACAGAATTAAATGCTTAACAAAAAGGACTGAAAAAAGTTCTAATTATGACAAACCAAAAAAAAGAAAGAAAACCTAACCCACTGTCATCCAGTCACTTCTGACTCATTGGGTTTCCAAGATTTAAATCTTTATGTAGTAGATTGCCTCATTTTCCTCCCCCAGAGTAGCTAGTGGGTTAGAACCGCTGACCTTCTAGTTTCCAGACAAATGTCTTACCTACAACGCCACCAAAGTTCCTTCTAATTATGATACATCTGGTTATAAATACTCTGTGCACTTCGCACTTAACGCCAATTACTGGCAAAATACCGCACGGATGACAACTTATTCTCACAATAATATCACGAATTATTAGTACCACCATTTTCAGCTGAGTTACCTGACTCGTACCAAGATTACTTATCTTGGAGCTGGTTATAGATAATTGAGATATAAGGCTCGAGAATAGGTGCTCGTGGGCATTTTCCGCTTCTGCCTCACAAAGCACAAACTACCAGTTCTCGGTAAGTTCCAATGCCCTAAGATGACGACGCCGAACGGGCTCTCGACGCCCGTGCGACTTAACCCGGAAGCTGCCTGACTGTCTCTGCCTGGCGGAAATGAAGAGGCGGGGCTGAGGCTGCTCAGACTCGGAGCGAACCTAGTAGACTGGTTCTCAGAATGTTGGCGGTGAACTAGTCAGGCTGAAAACTACATTTCCCATGAAGCCTGGCGATCGCAAGACATGATCTCCCTCTCCCTCTCCCTCTCCCTCTCCCCCTCCCCCTTCCCCTCCCCTCCCCTCCCTCCTCTCCCCCTCCCCCTCCGTCGTCTCCGTCTCCCCCTCCCCCCTCCCTCTCCCCGTCTCCCTCACCCTCCCTCCTCCTCCCTCTCCCTCTCTCTCCCTCTTTCTCCCTCTTTCTCCCTCTCTGCCTCCCTCCCTCCCTCTTTCTCTCTCTCTTTCCACTTTCCTTAGGGATAAGGAAGATGGATTGGGTGTCTTTGACCTGTAGATCCACTGACATAAAAATAATAATTTTCAAGATTTAAATGTTTCAAGAAATATTCTACCTCTTCATGAAAATGTACGTTTTATAAATGAAAATATGAAATAATCAGATGCTTTCCTAGGGAATGCTCCCCTCCAAGGCTTTACTTCCCCAAAACAACTGATATTCATTCACTCCGTATGCTGAGGAAATAATCCAAGAAGCTAGACTATATGAATAAAAATGCAGATTCAAGATAGGAAGAAAACTCACTGACAACCTGCAGTTTGCACAGGACACATCTTTGATTGCTGAAAGTGAAGAGGACTTGAAGCACTTACTGAAGAAGATCAAAAAGTATAGCCTTCAATATGGATTACAAATGAAAAAAATAAAAAATCCTCACAAGTGGGTCAATAAGCAACAATTGAAGCTGTCAAGGATTACATTCTATTTGGATCCACAACCAATGCCCATGCAAGCAGCGGTCCAGAAATCAAATGACATACTGCAATGGGCAAAGCTGCTGCAAAACACTTATCTAAAGTTTTAAAGAACAAAGATGTCACTTGGAGGAGTAAGGTGTATCTGACCCAATCCATGGTATTTTCAATCACTTCATATGCATATGAAAACTGGGCAATGAATATGGAAAACCAAAGAATTGATGCCTTTCAATTATGTTATTGGCAAAGAATATTGAATATTCCATGGACTGACAGAAGAATAGACAAATCTGTCTTGGAAGAAGTACAGCCCAAATGTTCCTTACAGTTGAGAATGTCAAGACTTCCTCCATGTGTTTTGGACATATTATCAGGAGGGACCAGTCTCCAGATAACAATAATAACAATATGGCTCAGAGACAACAGACAACTTCAAACCAAACAAAGAAATAGGACAAGATGGATCAAGCAAGTGACAAAGAAACAAGAAACCTCTGTAAGGAAAAATCTTAATGAAACTACCTGATAAGGAATTCAAAAACTGTATAGGCCCCTTGTGTTAGACTGGGTTCTCTAGAGAAACAAAACTAGAAAAGCTTATATAAAAAGAGAGAAAAAGAATTTATCTTTGAAAAAAGAGCTCACACACTTACAGACGCTGGCAAGTCCCAAGGTCTTGGATCAAACGTCAAGCTGGTGGCTTTTCCCAACTCACACAGCTGTAGGGGCTGAAGAGCTCAAGGTTAGCAGGCAGTATACTGGCTGTTGACCCCAAGGAATGATGAACCCAAGATCTCCAGGACGAATGGTGGATTGTTTGCTCACGGACAATTGTGTGCTGTTGTGTGTAGGCAGCACAACAGAATCCTGATCCACAGAAGAATGTCTCTTTTCCCAGGATGTCCATAAATATATTGGAAGCAGGCCACACCCCTAGGGTAACTCCTATTCAATGGACTGGCTGCTCAAAATACATACATCTGATCCCATCATGGGAAAAACCCACACCACAATTGCTTAAGGAACACAGAATTGTGGTCCAGCCAAGTTGACACACAGCTCCAACTATCACAGTCCACCCCTTGTCAACTTGGCAGTTGTACACATCTTCTTAACCATGTATAATCTCTAAATAAGCACAATTATAAAGTCATATTTGCACCTAACATGATATGCTAACACACGTACAACCGAAACACATTAACCTTATTTACATCTTACAGTTTATAACAGAAAGAAACAAAAATATTTGATGCACATATACAATGAAGAAATATAACAATCACATCATTTCTGCAACTGGTCACATGGTCATAGCTGATACTCAGAACTACCTTCTTCCACCACCCAGTCTGTTTTTCCCTTGCCCTCAGCAAGCACCTTAGGTGGTCGTGGTTCTTTGCCTGGTGGGGTGACCCAAACCTACATTCCTAAAATGTCTGGGCCATTAGTAGTCATGTAAGAATTGGGTTGCTGTAATTTTCCATTGACTTTAATCTTAGGGCATAGTAGTACTAAGAGACGTCCTAAAGAATCTCATGTATTCCAGACATATTCTTCTTTACCTCCATTACGTAATGTCAATTCAATTTCCCCTTGGTAATCAGGATCTATCACACCATATAGTACAGTATTGCCCTTCTTTGTCTGTTGATACAGAGGCATGAGGAAGTCAAAATGGCCAGGTGGCATTCTTAATTTCCAGTTCAATGCAATCAGTATTGTGTCTCAGGTGGGAGTGTTTCTCCCTTTGGGACTAAGATCTCCAGACCCGCAGAGCATAGGGTAGCAGAGACAGGAAGCAAAAATTTTTGAGTGGGCCACTAGGGATAATAGTGAATGGTACCACTCCCATTTCCACCCCTTGGTTCCTGGACCCATGAATCCTGGGTATTGGAGAAATAGCACCATATATTGGATGCTGGTTTAGAGCATATACAGCCTCCTGGAGAACATTGCCCTAACACTTCAAGGTATTGTCACCTAGCTGGCACTGTAATTGTTTTTTTCAGTAGAACATTCCATCGTTCTATCAAGCCAGATGCTTCAGAATGATGGGGAACATGGTAAGACTAGACAATTCCATGAGCATAGGCCCATTGCCACACTTCATTCACTGTGAAGTCCCTTGATCTGAAGCAATTTTGTGTGGGATACCATGATGGTAGATAAGGCATTCTGTAAGTCCATGGGTGGTAGTTTTGGCAGAAGCATTGCATGCAGGGAAGGCAAATCCATATCCAGAATAAGTATCTATTCCAGTAAGAACAAAACACTGTCCTTTCCATGATGGAAGTGGTCCAAAGTAATCAACCTGCCACCAGGTTGCTGGCTGATCACCCCGAGGAATGGTTGCATATCACAGACTCAGTGTTGGTCTCTCCTGCTGGCAGATTGGGCACTCAGCAGTGCCGGTAGCCAAATCAGCCTTGGTAAGTGGAAGTCCATGTTTCTGAGCCCATGCATAACCTTCATCCCTGCCACCATGACCACTTTGTTCATGAGCTCAATGAGCAATGACAGGAGTAGCTGAGAAAAAAGGATGGCTGGTTTCCACTGGACGTGTCATCCTATCCACCTGATTGTTAGAGTCCTCTGCCGAGGTCACCTTCTGGTGGGCATTCACATGAGATACAAATATTTTTACTCCTTCGCCCCATTCAGAGAGATCTATCCACCATGCAGCCAAGGCAGTGAGATGACATTTATAAAAGCCTGGAAGAAAAAAAATTGCCAACCAAGAGCTATATGTCCACCAAAATTACTTCTCAAATTATGGCAAAATTAGGATATTCTCAGATAAGCAAAAATTAGAGGAGTTATGAAAAATGAGAACCTTCTAAGAAATGCTCAAATGAGTTCTTTGAACAAAGAATTACAACAGCAGACAACTGGAGATTAAGACACACATCATCAAATGGAAATCAACCCAGATGTACAAATACCAAAAATAAAATAAACCTGTTGTTTTTGTTAGGTGCTGTGGTAGTTAAGGTTATGTATCAACTTGACTGGGCCTGGTTTTGAGTGCCTGGGCGGCTGGATGTAGCTATTCCGTATGATGAGATTAGTAATCAACTCCATGATGGAATTGAACAGCTGAGCAACTGCCTTAGGGGTGTGGTTTCTTCAAGTATATAAGAAGATGCTTTGAGAAAGGTCTTGGGATTTTGGCATGCTTGTGTCCTGCATGTAGCGAGTCTTCGTTCACCAGCCTACCATGTTGCTTGCTGATCTTGGGACTGTTTCTGGAATTGAAATAGTGGTCTGCTGTGTTGCTTGATAATCTTGGGACTGTGCAATTTACTTGTCAACTTTGGGTTTGTCATCCTCGGAAGCCAGTAGCTGCCTGAGTTAAAAGATGCCTCCAGCTCTAGTGGTCCAGGAGCAAGAGGCAGAGCTGAAGCCCAAGGTCAAGGGGCTTTCACCTAGCCCCTACAGGTAGCACTTTGAACTCAGACTTCTAGCCTCCTGAATTGCAAGAGAATAAATTCCTGATTGTTAAAACCATCTACATGTGATATTTTCTGTTAGAACAGCATTTAATAACCAACATAGGTGCCATCTAGTTGGTTTTGACCCATAGTGACCTCATGCATAACACTGCCCAGTCCTGTACCATACTCATAATCATTGCTGTCCTTGAGTCCACAGTTGTAGCCAGTGTGTCAATCCATATTGTTGAGGGTCTCCTCTTTCTCTCTGACCATCTACTATAGCAAGTGTGATGTCCTTCACCAGGGACTGGTCCCTCCAGATAACATGTACAAACTACAAGAGGCAAAGTTTTGCCATCCTTTTTTTCTAAAGAGCATTCTGGCTGTACATTCTCCAAGATAGATTTGTGCATTCTAGCAATCCACTGTATATTCATTATTCTTCCCCATCAGAATTCAAATTCATCAATTTTTATGTGGTCTTTTTTTATTCATTGTCCAGCTTTTACATGAATATTAGGATACTGAAAAGACAATGGCTTAGGTTAGGAGAACTTTAGTCTTCGTGATATTTTTGCTCTGTAACTACCTAAAGAGGTCTTTTGCAGCATATTTTCCCAGTGCCATACATCATTTGATTTATTGACTGCTGCTTCCATGGGCATTGATTATGGATCCAAGTAAAATGAAATCCTTGACAACTTCAATCTTTTCTCCATTTATCATGATGTTGCTTATTGGTCCAGTTGTGAGGATTTTTATTTTCTTTATGTTGAAACATAATCCATAGTGAAGACTACAGTCTTTGATCTTCATAAGTAAGTGCTTCAAGTCTTTTTCACTTTCAGCGAGTAAGGTGTATCATCTGCATATAGCAGGCTGTTAATGAGTCTTCCTACAATGCTGATGCTGTGTTCTTCTTCACATACTTCAGCTTCTTGAATTATTTGTTCAGCACAGAGATTGAATAAGTATGGTGAAAAAATACAGCCCTGATGTGTGTCTTTCCTGATTTTAAACCATACAGTATCCCTTTGTTTTGTTTGAATGACTGCTTCTTGATATATCTACAGATTCTCCATGACCACAATTAAGTGTTCTGGAATTGTAATTTTTCACAAAGTTATCCATAATTTGTTATGATTCACACAACCACATGTCTTTGCCCAGTCAACAAAACAAAGATAACATCTTTCTTGTATTCTTTGCTTTCAGCCAAAATCCATCTGGCATCAACAGTGATATCCCTCATTCCATGTCCTTTTTTCAAAGCAACTTGAATTTCTGGGAGTTTCCTATTATCATACTGCTACAACCATTTTGAATTATTTTCACTGTAATTTTACTTTCATGTGATATTAATGATATTGTGTTGAATATTGTGTTGAATCACCTTTCTTTGTAATGGGTACAGATATGTATCTCTTCCAGTCAGTTGACCAGGAAGCTGTCCTCCAAATTTCTTGGTATAAACAAATAGGTGCTTCCAGCATTATATCCATTTGTCGAAACAGCTCAATTGGTATTCAGTACCACCAGTTCTTGACTGTGTGCTAACAACTGAAATGGTGGATTATTGCCCAATTCTTTTTTGTATAGTAAGTCCTTGTATTCCTTCTATTTTCTTTTGATATTCCCTGCATTGTTCACTTTTTTTTTTTTTACCCATAAAAACCTTCAATACTGCAATCCAAAGTTTGACTTTTTTCTTCAGAAGTCATCCCACAACTTGTCCAGTCTTCAGTCAATGGTGTTCAATGCATCAAATCTCTTCTTCAATGGTCTCTAAATTCAGATGTTTTGGTTTTGGTAGATTTGTTTTAATTTCATTCAGCTTCAACTTAAACTTGCATATGAGCAATTGATGGTCTGTTCCACAGTAAGACCCTGGTTTGTTCTGACTGATACTTAGTTTATCTGTTATCTCTTTCCATAAATGTAGTCTATTTGATTCCTGTGCATATTCTATCTAGCTAGGTCTACATGTCACCATTTATGATGTTTAAAAATAGCATTTGCAATGAGTTTTGCTCTAGCAAAATTCTAACATGATCTTTGGTGTCATTTATATATTTTCCCACTACTTGTGCTTCTTCTTTGTTTCCAACTATTACAATCCAGTCACCAGTAATTATCAGTACATTTTGATTGCATGTTTGGTCAGTTTCAGATTGTAGGGTTTGGTGGGGGAATAAAAAAACCACTCTAATTTCTTCATCTTTGGCTTTGGCAGTTTGTGTGTAAATTTGAATAATGTTAATATTAACTGTTCTTCCTTGTAGGCATATGGATATTAATCCTAAAATATTAATACTACCACCAACATAATTTTACTTCAGTACAGATGCTGAAAAATTTTTTAATGATGAATTTGATGCTGTTCCTCTTCAATTTGTCACTCTGGCATAGTATACCATATGACTGACCAGTTCAAAACGGACAATGGTAAATTTCTGCTCATTAATGCCCAGGATATAGATCTTTATGCTTTCCATTTCACTTCTTTCAGTTTTCCTAGATTCACATTTTGTGCAATCCACATTAAACCTGTTGTTGTTGTTATGTGCCATCGAGTTGGACCCGACTCGTAGCAACCCCTCCTTGGGTTTCTGAGGCAGTATCACTATAGAAGTAGATTGCCCCATCTTTCTTCTGAGGAGTGGCTGGTGGGTTTGAGCCGCCAGCCTTCTGGTTAGCAATCAAGCACCTTAGGCACTATGCTACCAGAGCTCCTACATTAAACCTACAAGACTGAAAACAGCAAAGCAGAGATGCCTATTTATAAATGATGATATCTACAATGCAAAAAGAGGAAATAAATGATGTAGTTACAGAATTTCCAAATGGAGAGGAAGTCAAGACAATATAAAGAACAGAACAGACTGCTTAAAACTAGGGAAGATGATAATATATTACAGAATAACCTCAAAGAAAATTAATAAGCTTTCCCATAAAAATAAAAAAGAGGAAAAGCATGAATTCTCAGTAGACTCTAAAACATAGCAAGGAAGGAAATTATAGAAAAATCTATTAACATAATGAACTCAACAGAGAAGAATATATTGAACAAAAATACCAGCAACACTAAAAAACAAAATGGTCAAGTAAATTAATATCTATCAAAAATTGAGTAG